GGGCGATGCTGAAGATGCTTCATTGTCGATGCCGCCAACTTGTACGGTGGAGCGATGCGGTTAATTGTCTTAGTTGACATAACCACTCGTATGCATTGGCACATTATTTAAATTTTCAAGAACAATAAGAAAATATGCGCTTAGTTTCAATTCACTAGTAGTCTCTAATGTATATTCCGCATAGCTTGCTCAATTAAATGGTATACTCGATAGCTGCGTCTCTGAGAAGCTGAAGCTTACTCGTTACTTAAGTTATATGAATGTAGAAAGGCAGCCCTTCTTAAAGGTTTCCTTTCTGTTTTTGAAAACCCTCTCACCCGTCACGTAAATGGGTTTTCACGTTTTAGGCTGCTGACTAAAGTCCTCAAGTTTTAGATGTCGCGTTTTAAGACCTTCAGTTTCTTACTGTTAATTGACTGGTTCAATCTTCCAGTACAAAAATCCCGTCTTTGGGATATAGACTTTTAAGCTGCAAGGTGGTTCTCAGAATTCTCAATTTAGGCTGCAGACCGCACTTAGTTTTAGGCTTTTGCTCTTAAATATTAAGTTTTAACCTCGGTTTTAGCCTATAGTCGAGGGTCGAGATAAGTTCCGGCATTAGGTCGTGTAGAAGTTGTAGACTGCAAATGTAATGAATTGTAGATTCTTTTGGATTCTATTGATTCAATGGGTTGTGTAGATTCCGCTGAATTTGCAAATCCTGTTGATTCTCTGCAGATTCTGAAGATATTGTTGATTCTGTAGAGTTTCCAGCTTCTGCAGATTGTACACAGTGTGCAAGACCCGTCAATTCTTTAGACTCTGTTAACCCTGAAGACTTCTGAAAATGTGCATTTTGTAGGTTTAGTGGATTTCATAAGCTTTGTAGATACTGTTTCTTCTGTTGACTATACGCATTGTTCCATTCCCCAGATTTTGAAGTGCTTGCAGACGCTAAAAGCTTAAGATCCAAAGGTACCTGTAGATTCTGACGATTCTGTTGATTCTGTAGCAACTGTGAAATATGCAGATACCGTACAGTTTGTAAATTCTTTTGATTTGTACCTTTTGTACACTTTGCAGATTCAAAAGATTCTGTAACCTATAAACTCTATGGCTGCCTGGTTCTGAAAGTTGAAACCAAACGCTACAAACCTTACAGATGGCATATATCTAATATACCATGCAGATTCGGAATATTCTGGAGATCCTGTTGATTTTGTAGAGAGTGTAACTTCCGCAGATTCTACACACTCTGCAAATCTTATCAATTCTTTAGACTCTGTGAATCCTGAAGGCTTCTAAAAACTTAGTTAATTTTGTAGATTCAGTAGGTACGTTCTGTAGCTTCAACAGATACAAGTAGAAGTTATACATCTAGAAGTCCGGTAGTGGATTTTGTTGATTCTGTGGTTTCAGTCGTTTCTATCGCTTCTGTCGAATCTGTCGTTTATGCCGTTTCTGGAGTTTCGGCCGAATTTGTCTATCCTGTTGATTCTGTTGATTCTGATATACTCTCGGTACTATAGATACTCTCAATTCTGTCGATTCTGTCGATTTTGTAGATTCCGTCTATCTCGTTGATACAGTTAATCGTCGTTTCCTTTTTTTCCGTTGATTCCGTTGATTCTGTTGATTATGTTTATTCAGATGATTCCGTTGACTCCTTTGATTCCATTGATTCCGTTGATTCAGTACATTCTGTAGATTCCGTAGGTTTCGTAGATTCCGATGATTCCGTTGTGTCCGTTGATTGCGTGGATTCCGTCGATTCTACCTAATCTCTCAATTCTGTGACTTCTGTTGATTCTGTTGATTCCGTTGATTCCGTTGATTCCGTTGATTCAGTTGATTCAGTTGATGCCGTTGGTTCCGTTGATTCCTTTGATTCCGTTGATTGCGTTGTGTCCGTTGATTGAGTGAATTCCGTCGATTCTACCAAATCTGTCAATTCTGTGACTTCTGTTGATTCTGCTGATTATAAGATTTGTGGATTTCTAAATATTTTGTGTTTTTGTATATTTTGTAGATCTTTCAAGCGCTGCAAATCGTGTAGAAGTTGCAAATTCAATAGTTCATGTAGATTCTCTTGATTCTGTAGGGTTTGGTCTTGAAGAGTTTACAAATTTTGTGGATTGTGAAGAGTTTGTAATGTCGTACATCTTCTTTTAATGTTGATTCTATAAGCCACATAGATTTTGCAAGTTTAGTCAATTCTGTTGGTCCTTTAAGTGATTGTACATTCGTACGATTTCCTGGTTCTCAAACCTCTCGCAAACGCTACACATTTTGTGGAAGCCATTCATCCGCAAACCATGTTGACTGTTGACCCTGTGCATTCCTGCATTCTTGGTTTTGAAAGCTATTGGAGACGCTGCAAGTCGTATAGAAGTTGAAAATTCTGTACTTTTGGAAATTTTGTTTCAATCGATTTTGTAAAGGCCTTAAATTCTGTAGATTTTGTACATTTTGCAGGTGCTGTAGATACTGTAGGTTCTGAAGATACTGTAGATTCTGTAAATTCTGTATATTCTGTAGATTTTGTAGATTCTGTAGATTCTGTAGATTCTGTAGATTCTGTAGATTTTGTAGATTCTGTAGATTCTGCAGATTTTGCAGATTCTGTAGATTCTGCAGATTCTGCAAATTCTGTAGATTCTGTAGATTCTGTAGATTCTGTAGATTCTGTAGATTCTGTAGATTCTGTAGATTCTGTATATTCTGTAGATTCTGTAGATTCTGTAGATTCTGTAGATTCTGTACATTCTGTACATTCTGTACATTCTGTACATTCTGTACATTCTGTAGATTCTGTAGATTCTGTAGATTCTGCAGATTTTGTAGATTCTGTAGATTCTGTATATTCGGTAGATTCTGTAGATTCTGCAGATTCTGTAGATTCTGTAGATTCTGTAGATTCTGTAAATTCTGTAGATTCTATATATTCTGTAGATTCTGTAGATCCTGTAGATTCTGGAGATTCTGTAGATTCGGTAGATTCTGGAGATTCTGTAGATTCTGCAGATTCGGTAGATTCTGTAGATTCTGCAGATTCTGTAGATTCTGTAGATTCTGTAAATTCTGTAGATTCTATATATTCTGTAGATTCTGTAGATCCTGTAGATTCTGGAGATTCTGTAGATTCGGTAGATTCTGTAGATTCGGTAGATTCTGGAGATTCTGTAGATTCTGCAGATTCTGCAGATTCTGTAGATTCTGTAGGTTCTGTAGATTCTCTAGATTCTGTAGATTTGGTAGATTCTGTAGATTCTGTAGGTTTTGTGGATTCTGTAGATTCTGTAGATTCTGTATATTCTGTAGATTCTGAAGATTCGGTAGATTCTGTAGGTTTTGTAGATTCTGCAGATTCTGCAGATTCTGTAGATTCTGCAGATTCTGTAGATTCTGCAGATTCTGTAGATTCTGTAGATTCTGTAGATTCTGTAGATTCTGTAAATTCTGTAGATTCTATATATTCTGTAGATTCTGTAGATCCTGTAGATTCTGGAGATTCTGTAGATTCGGTAGATTCTGGAGATTCTGTAGATTCGGTAGATTCTGGAGATTCTGTAGATTCTGCAGATTCTGTAGATTCTGCAGATTCTGTAGATTCTGCAGATTCTGTAGATTCTGCAGATTCTGTAGATTCTGCAGATTCTGTAGATTCTGCAGATTCTGTAGATTCTGCAGATTCTGCAGATTCTGTAGATTCTGTAGATTCTGTAGATTTTTTAGGTTCCGTAGACTCCGCCGTAGACTTCGTAGACTCACACCGTAGACTGCGTAAATCCCGTAATTCCGTAGATTCCCCAGATTCCGTAGATTCTGTAGATTCCGTTGATTCCGTAGACTCCGTAGATTCTGTAGATTCGCAAATCGTGTAAATGTAGAATATGTGCATTCTGTAAATCCTGTGTAGGTTCTGCACAATCTGCAGGGTTTAAAAGTGTTGTCGATTCTTGAAATCCCGTGGACATAACAATTCTGCACTATTGTAAATTTTGTAGATTCTGTAGATTCTGTAGATTCCGTAGATTCTGTAGATTCTGTAGATTCTGTAGATTCTGTAGATTCTGTAGATTCTGTAGATTCTGTAGATTCTGCAGATTCTGCAGATTCTGCAGATTCTGCAGATTCTGTAGATTCTGTAGATTCTGTAGATTCTGTAGATTCTGTAGATCCTGTAGATTCTGTAGATTCTCTAGATTCTGTAGATTCTGTAGATTCTGTAGATTCTGTAGATTCTGTAGGTTTTGTAGATTCTGCAGATTCTGTAGATTCTGTAGATTCTGTAGATTCTGTAGATTCTGTAGATTTTTAGGTTCCGTAGACTCCGCCGTAGACTTCGTAGACTCCGTAGACTCACACCGTAGACTGCGTGAATTCCGTAATTCCGTAGATTCCCCAGATTCCGTAGGTTTCGTAGATACTGTAGATTCCGTAGATTCTGTAGATTCCGTTGATTCCGTAGATTCTGTAGATTCGCAAATCGTGTAAATGCAGAATATGTGCATTCTGTAAATCCTGTGTAGGTTTTGCAGAATCTGCAGGATTTAAAAGTGTTGTCGATTCTTGAAATCCCGTGGACATAACAATTCTGCACTATTGTAAATTTTGTAGATTCAGTAGATTCTGCAAACAACCTAGGTTCTGTAGATTCTGTACGTCTAGTAGGTGCTGTTGGTTCTGTTGACCCTTGCATTCTTCTACTTCTGAAGGTTCTTGCAGTCGCTACAGATCGTGTATAGAAGTTGTGGGCCTTTTGGATTCCAGATTCTGCATATTCTGTTGATTTTGTAGAGATTCTAGCTTCTTCAGATAATCCTGTAGAACCTGCAGATCTGATAGTCCTGTAGATTATGGTAATTCTGTTGATTCTGAGATAATGGTAAGTTCTGCAGAAACTACAAAGTTTATAAATCCTGTCGATTCTGTAAGGTTTGTAGATTTTAAAGACTTCTACACGTTTCGTACTTTTTGTACATTTTCTACTCTTTACGTTCTGGTTTTGAAGGCTCTTGCAGACGCTGCAAATGGTGTAGAAGTTCCAGTAGATCCTGTAGATCCTACAGATCATGTAGATTTTGGTTGAAGTTGAAATTGTAGCTGAATTTGAAGAGTTACCAAATGTTGTGGATTCTGAGGTTTTCTGAAGATTCTGTAGCTTTGTAAATTTTGTGGTTTTAGTCGATTCTGAAGAGCTCAGTGGATGCTGTTAGTTCTGTTGGCTCTGCACATTGCTGCGTTTCAAAGTTTTCGCAAACTCTACAAATCTTGTAGTAACCCTAGATCCAGTGGACCCTGCATTTTGCGGATGCTGTAAAATGATTCTGTAAAGCTCCCGCAAATTTTACAAAGTTTATAAATCTCGCCGATTCTTTAGAGCATGTGAACTCAAAAGTCCTCCGTACATTTATTTGTTGCTTCGTGAATTTCTTCATTCTTCTGATTCTGATGGTTCCTCCAGGCGCTGCAAATCAAATTGTAGGTTTCCACAGGGTCTCAAAAATCTTGTCGAACCTTGAAACCCTGTGGATTCTGAAAACTTCTAAGGATTCTGTATTTTTTGTAAAATTATTTAAGTATTCTGTAAACACTGTAGTTTCTGTAGGTTCTGTACGTTAGGTAGAGGCTGTTGATTCTGTTGACCCTGTGCATTCTTGCATTCTTTTAATTTTGAAGGTCCTGCAAATCGTATATAGGTTTGTAGGCCTGAATTCTGACGATTTTGCTGACTATTGATTCTATAGATACTGTGGGTTAAATCCACAAAGTTTGTCTACTCTTTTGAGCAACTAGCTTCTGATTTTATACTGCTGTGTCAATGCCATACAAAAGAACAAAATGCTGCAGAATTTAAGGCCACAACAGGTAAATTTTAAAACAAAATGTAGTTACTCTGTTTTCAAAAACACTTTTAAGATTTTTATTATGCAAATAACCACTCGGCTGGTCGAAAAAACTCAGAGTTTACTGGGTTTATAAACACACGCGACAAAGAAGATCGTCGAGCTATCTCGATGGGACCAACTTGTACGGGGCGAACGATGATCGATAATTTCTCTTCGACTTGTACCGTTGATTGGCTAATCGCCTTTTGTTTTTTTAGTGAGAAGCTCGACATCGAAAAGAATTCGACCGGTCCCGGCGGCATACCGGCGGATGCGATATACACGACAACGCCTAGGGGCGGACGGGGCCATAACAGTCCGGAAGCGATGAAGGTACGTCTCGCCGCCATGGTGCTGCAACCCCCAACTAGAGTGTAGCACTGCACCTTCAGGCCGGAGCGCGGACGACCCGCCACGGTTATCGAATATGAGTGTTAACTGTTTTGAAATTATCCCAATGACAATTGTAATTTTCTATTATAAATCGAAACTTATAGACTTAATCGAAACTTATGCGCGCGTCCGTCTTGTGTTTCAATTTATTTGAAGTTGTCGCCACCAACGTTCAAATTTCACCCTCAAAAGCACTTCGCAAATTATTGCATTTGCAGGAAAATGGAGCGAAGAAAATTGAATTTAATCGGCGTGGTGGCGGCGATGTTGTTTTTTATTTATTTTCAAAACAGCTTTCACGTATATCACTGCCATTTGAAAGATGTTTGACCACAAATTTCTGCACTGAAAGCTTTACATTTCTGTGTGTTTTCTTTTTCGCTTTGAATAATTTAGATTTATGGCTAACAGCTACGCGGAGACCTGCGTGGCTATTGGTTTTAGTGGAAAATTGTTTTAGTGTGCGCACTTTTTGTGTTACCTCCCGGCATCTCCAACGTTCGGAAATGTGGTGCTTACTTCACCCTAGCCGCCCCTTACTAACTTTTGACAATAAAGTAGTATGTAAACTACCGATTGCATGTAAAGACCAATCTCTATTTTTTCATTTAGTTGATTCCAACTGAATTACTAACAGACTTAATCTTAAGAGTTGTGGTATCAAGTTTGTGTAATCATCATCACACTAACGCACCTTTCGCACTTCTTTGCAATGAGCACTGAGCACCTAACACCTGCCTGATGTAGAGTAGATTAACCCAAAGATCGTTTGGGTGAAACACGTAAAGTAGAGCAGATCGTCTGTCTCGATGACCATCTGCTTTATTTTGAACACACTGTACATATCACTGACACTAGTATTTCTACACAGACTCCCGTCCTGAGCACATTTTCAAACCACCTCACTTGATTCTAATCCTGTGGTGTGGCTGTCGTCGTCGAAGATCGTCATTAACCCATTTCGCTCATTTTATTATTGTAGAAATGCGGGAACTTACAACGGCAGACGCGTCTTGTAAATTTCCGCATTAATTTGAACAAAAAACTAACACGGTCTAACATAATGCTGTAAATATAGCCTACAACACACACATTCAAAGGTAGAAGTAGTTTAGAAGATCATCCGAGGGAGGACGGTATCTACTCGGGCCTAAACTCGAGGTCCCAAACGGTACCAAAAAACTACTTCGAATCTGACGATATCGAACACTTTCGACATGGTGACGGAAAATATCATAGCTATCACAAATATCATTCAATTCGAAAACCGACCGATATTGATGACGGGGGGAACAACGTGCCAGATTTTAGCACAATGGCGGCCAGAACTTACAGGTCGTCGCTGCCGACTGATAGTAGATACGATCGCCGATCGTCTTTGCAGAACAGTAAAAAGTATTGTAAAAATAAACCGAGACCGAAACCCTTACAGGTTGGCGAGCACGAACAGTACTATAATCACATTTTTCCGACTAATCCAAAAGTTGCCAATAGAAATTCACGTAGTACCGACCTGTACTTCCAGCCTAGCACCTTAGAACGTGCCGAACTGTAAATACTCACTCAGTTTACGTTCCCCTACCCCCTTCTTAAAATACAGATGTGTATATATTACTGTTATTTTGACGTCTTAATCGGCCGAAACTTTAAGTACTTAACCAATTTATTAATAATCAGCGGTGGGGGTCTCGAACGTGACCCCTTTTTTTGTAGCGCTCAAGCCACCCCCGCCGCTGTTTTATACCAAATATTAGCGTCTAGCTTATAGATTATACATTATAAAAGATGAACGATAGTAAATCTATTAGAATATTATTAATTAAATAATTTATAATTGAATGTGATGTTACAATAAGAAAAAATCAAATGTACTTTAAATTCATTACGTGCTTTAAATGTAAAGAGGAAAAGGACTTTTTATGTAATGTTACTCAAAATACTATCATTATTATTACTATTATTATTAATCGTTTCTTTATGATATGAAAATGCGACTATTTAATGTTTGTGACGAAGACGAATTAATAATTATTAACGACGTTTGTTTTTTGGAATATATTTAGATAATGTATAGTTGAGATTATTTTACATGTGAAGATTATGTGTTCTTCATTAAATATTATTACAAATGTGTCTTTATTTTTGCAAACTGTTTGAAGCATTTCTAACCTCCAATAACATTAACAGCTTTCCTTTACCACTTTCGAGTTTTCACATTTTAATTTTGAATGTCACCTGTCACTGGACGCATAAGGCTTTTTGGTCTTCACCAGCTTTAAGTTACTTTAAGAGCAACGCCTTCTGAGATCCTAAGAGTCTCCAAGAGGGTTTTGAAGCCTTCAGTAGGCAATTGGTTTTTAAAGGTCTTTAAAGGTAGTGGATGCTGGAGGGTTCTAGGAGGTCTCGAAATGATTGGACGTTGTAAGTCGAGAGTAAAAGTTTGGAGCATGAAAATTCAGAGCTCTATAGATCCCTACGTGTTGAAATCCTCAAGTTCCCAAGATTTCCACGCCCTAAGATAATAAGTTTTGGAAGTTTCAGTTTCAATTGCCGAACTTAAAGGGTAAAAACCGCACTGAGGATCTCGAGATCCTTTATATCCTGAGGTCGTCGGTTCGAGAATAAAATCCTTTGAACTGTGAATCCTAAAGCTTGAAGCTTTTTTTAAATGGTATCATGGGGAAGGTGAAATGCCTATGCACACCTCCGCCTGTTTTTATGACGGAGGTAGTTTGGGCCATGCCGCCCACCAAACCACTTCCCCCTTAATAATTACCAACGTCGATCTAACCTACCCTAACCTATGGTCAATTTAAAAATTTATGCGATTTTTGAGTGCCCAAAAAAGTCACTTAAGGACCTCAAATTTTCGTCTAACGTTTACACTCACTTAATCTCGTAGTTTAAAGTCGATTTTAGCAAAAAACAGAAATAATTAATTTTTCGTCAAAATTTTCCGGGAAATTGCAGTTCAAATACCTCGAATATTGGCGAATTTATTAATTTTTTTGTAATGGTCTACAAAATATGAAAAACGAAACTCGCCCTCTACCGCCGAAACCGTAAATCTTTTATAAGAATTTTACTTCATTTTGCAATCCTCGTGCCCAAATGTATAAGACGATTTTTTACAATCTTTTTTTCGATTTTTTCGAAGGAAGGGTATGAAGATTTTGTCGTATGACTTTCGAAGTAGGCTTCGTACTTCGACAAAACCTTCGGTAACGTGTTGTTTGAGGTAAATTGCGACATACGATGTGACGGTAGAGAGATTCGGCGACGTTTTTGAATTTTTGATTTGAGCACTTTTACTACTCGGGAATATGACCTGTGCGGTAACTTTTTCAAAAATTTCGAATCAAATCTTTGTGTCCGTACGTGCACACACCGGATTTTGATATTTTACGTCATTTGGGGCCGTCAAATCCGTCTCGTTTGCACTCGGGATTTTTTTTTTTTTCGTATATGCAAACACAAAGAAACATCGCTCGGATTCGGCCGCTACGCCGCCTCGCCTCGCGCACATTCCCATCGACCGTAGAACGCGACCGTTCGATACAGGAGTCCGCCGTAAAAGACGACATCGTTCTAACCCTCATCGTTCCGAATAAGAAAAGAGAAATGCAATTTTCGGGTAAGTTGGAGGAGAGGAGGGGGTGCGGATCGACGTCTTTGAAGCGCAGTTTAACTGCGAAGTCGCCCCCCCCCCTCGTCTTCACCACTATCAGGGGAAGTTTTCGCACGCCTATTATGGCCGCCGCCTTCGATTTGCCCTCACCAATTTCAACCTCTTCTCCCCCAGTGACCTGTCTATGGCTTCTATGGTGGCTTTCAGATGGCGTTTCACCACCTCCAGTTCACTATCCGTAGCTATCACTGTGAGGTCATCTGCAAAAGCAACCAATCTCACCTCCCTCGGTGCCGTTATGTCTACTACTTCATCGTACGCCATTCCATAGCAGTAGCCCTAATGCTGATCCCTGAGGGACGCCTCCATTCCATGACTATTTCCAGACGATAGTCTTACATTAATTTTCCTAATTCTCCGCGCTCCCGTCCTTTCTAGGGCGTCTATTATCACATCCATAGGCAGACTGTTAAACGCGTTTTAGACGTCCAGAGATCCCACTAAAACCAACTCCCTGGTCGGCCACGTACCTGCCTTAGCCTTTCTAGCCGTCCCAACCAGATTTTTGAGTGCATCTTTGGCCCCCCTTCCTTTCACCGTAGTGATTTGGGTAGACCTTCCATATATACTGCAATCGCGCCGCAACTACCCTCTCGAATAGCTTGCCAAGATGGCTTATAGTAGGGCGATCAACCTAAATTTTTACTTATTCTCCGCAGTTTTCCACGTTTTTGGGCATTTCCCTTCCCTCATAGCTGCCTCGAACGCGACAGAAACTATCTCGGGGGATCTTCTTGCCACCAGTGCCACGAGGGAGTCCTTCCGGCCCTGGAGCTATCTTCTCGGGCATTTTTTTGGCTGCCTCCGTGATTTCTTCTTCTTTGATCTTCCTTTGGTTGCCTTGACCATCTGCCGATCAATCCTTTCTCTCAGAGGGAACAGTGCCTGCACCTGTTCCTGGACTTCCGCGTCTAGCCCGATCGCTCGCAAATCTTCCCGACTGCTATCTTACATAGGTATATGATTTCCCCCACGGCTCCTTCTTGATCTGGTCACACCGCTTTCGTCAACATTTTTTCGATCGCCCTCCTCAGTTGTTTGCGGCTGGTCCCTAATTCTTCCTCTTCCCTGGCGTTTAGGTGTTCTACTTTCCACTCATTTGTCCCTAAGAGCCGCTATCTCGGAGTTTCACCAGTAAGTCCCACGTTTCCTCGACCCAGATGATCCTTTTGGGATTGAGAAATGTGCCAACTTTCGCAGTGAGGCATCCAGTGGTGTAGTCAGCCTTTTTTCCACTCCCATCCTTCCTCGTTGATTTTTCCAGGGTTTTCGGCTGATGTTTTCAATAGCTTGGTATAATAAGGTCCTACTTTTATTGTAGATCAGCAGTCTCAATAGGAATCTTCAAATTTTGTTTGGAGCCAAGGTTTAAGGTTTTCAGTTTGGTTTTAGGGGTGTGAGATCCAGAGTTCTGGGTCAGGAATGGTACCTACGTCTTTGAGGTTAGCAGTTCTATATTTGAAGCTTGATATAGGAGATCTGCTTTCAGAAACACTTGAAAATATAATACTCTTGAAGGATCCTAAAAATCCTTAAAAGCTAAAGCAATCTTTGAGAGATATACTCATAAAATCGGTGAAACGTTCTTAAAAGTTAACAATCGAAAATGCTCTAAGGCACTAAAATTGCACCCAAAAACGCTTATGAACCTTCTTTAAGTCTATGCTCTTTAAAATGAAGGCTCTAAATCATTTACAAAGCTTTGGAAGGTCTGTTTCTTAAAACCTTGATCATCATTTAAGATTCAGCGTTCAAATACCCAAAGAATTTCATTAATCTTCAAAAGACTTCATGAATCCTTAAGAGTAGTAAAGCCTCTAACAGTCTCTAAAGTCCTGAGAATTATTGCCCTATAAGTTCGTAAGACGCATAACAGTTTCTAATAGCTTGCAAAGGTCTCCCAGAGTTTATAAATATCATTGTGAAGTTTTGAATTGGGTTCATAGGTTTCCAAAAAGATTTCTAGCTTGAGAATCTTTAACTGGTTTCTGAAGCCTCCGAGAGCTTGACAGTCATTAAAACACTGAGCAAGTTTAAAGAGATTTATTTTGGTACTTGGTACGGATCTTTAAGTCTCAAAAGCAGCATCCGAGAGCGTCGATGCCCTGCAAAAATTCTGCAAAATGCTATTTGAGTTCCTGAAATTCACTCCTCTCTTGGAAAGTCCAACTTCTTAGGGCATTTGTGTCTTTTAGAGCTTCAAAAGTATTCCAAGAGCCCTAAATATTTCCCAAGTCTTTGAGGAACACTTAAAATTTTTAAATTAAGAAACCCGTATGTCCACAGTTTTGGAAGTTTCCATCCCCTAGGGTTATAAAGTAATCCCAAAACATAAAGTTTGAAGAGAAGAGCCTGAAACTTTGAACTCTTGTAGTTTTGAAATTCTGAGCCCTCAATATCTCTAGTTCTTTAGGTATTAACATCGCGAGGTCGTGTATTTTTTGGAATAAAATTCTTTAAACCTTGAATCCTCAAGCTTGAAGCAGATTCCTAGGTTTTGACCTGACGATCTTGAGGTTTTGGTATAATAAGGCTCTACTTTTTCTTAGATCAACAGTATCAATTGACATCTTGAGATTGTGTTTGGAGTAGTGATGTGGATTGTAAAATAACGATATGTAAGTTACATAAAAAACGGTTATATTACGCGTAACTTACAAGAGACCGTTTTTTTGCGCCCGTGAAGCCAGCCCCTACACGATAGCCCCTACAAGCCCGTACACAACTACCATTTAGTACTAATTATGTACTTTATAAATATGTAGTTCATATTTCTGTACCTATTGTTGTTAGAAAAATATCGTGTAGGGGCCAGCGGAGCCGTCTTTCCAGCCCCTACATAGGAAAGAGACCGCCCATACTTAAAGTATTGGATGTACCTTTACCTACCAAGAGGGTAGGTTCCATAAATGCATTTTGTAAGTTGCTACCCCTTACCATTTCCTGGAGGGGCTGGAAGTGCCGATTTTCCAGCCCCTACATAGAAAAGAGACTGCCCATACTTAAAGTATTGGTTGTACCTTTACCTACCAAGAGGGTAGGTTCCATAAATGCATTTTGTAAGTTGCTACCCCTTACCATTTCCTGGAGGGGCTGGAAGTGCCGATTTTCCAGCCCCTACATAGAAAAGAGACTGCCCATACTTAAAGTATTGGTTGTCCCTTTACCTACCAAGAGGGTAGGTTCCATAAATGCATTTTGTAAGTTGCTACCCCTTACCATTTCCTGGAGGGGCTGGAAGTGCCGATTTTCCAGCCCTGCACATAGAAAAGAGACTGCCCATACTTAAAGTATTGGTTGTACCTTTACCTACCAAGAGGGTAGGTTCCATAAATGCATTTTGTAAGTTGCTACCCCTTACCATTTCCT